CAAGAAAGAATAAACTGGTTTTAATTAAGAAAGGACTTGTATCGCTGAAGTTCCTCGGAAAGAATTTATGCCGGAAATTAACAGACGAACAGATACGTAACAATATGTTATGTTTATCTCCGCTACCAAAGGTGGACTGAGGTTGTTTTCACCCCTGTGTGTGTGTTTGTTAGCACGATTTTTTTCAGAAAGGCTAAATGGATTTGGACGGAAATTGGTATACATTTGTATTATGACCCAACTTAGAAGTGTTTAGTTTTTGGAAGGTAAAGTTCAAAGGTCAAAGACACGAAAATAAAAAAATCTTTATTTGTTAACATGGGGGGGGGGGCGATTGTTCACACTATTTTTGCTCCATAACTCAGTTACAAATGATCGGAATTTGATGAGACTTGGTGGACATATGTAGAATACTATTCCTAATTATCCTGCCAAAACGGTCCGTGTCCGTTGATAACGACAGACTCATATTCGTATTTTCTTAGAGCCGCATTTGATCAATGCTGCGTGGCGGAGGTATGCGCTTTACTGACTGCCCCTCTAGTTTTGTAACATTTTTGATTTTAATTGTGTCCAGCTTATTTATGTTTTTATTACATTACAATTGTAAATATTAATTTTATTATTACATTTTTGCTTCTTATTTGCTATAATTTAATGATATTGTCTTATGGTTTTTGTTTACAAATAACCTTGCTCCTTGGTGGCTCAATGGTAAGCTTGAGGGCTTATAATGCCAACAAAGAAGTAATTTTATTAAATAATAACGTATGTCGAATTTCATTATATATATAATGGGTTTTATGTGTGTGTGTTTCTTAAAGCAAAATCACATAGGCCTATCTGCTGTGTCCACCGAGAGGAATCGAACCCCTGATTTTAGCGTTGTAAATCCGAAGACTTATCGCTGTCACACCGGGGGACTAAGGGGTTTTAATTTACATTTCTAAATGAAACTAATTGTTGTTTAATAACTATTTGCTATATATGTAATATTTATATATATTTAAAACGTTGTATTTACTGATATAGTAAAGTCCTCCCAGTTGCTCAGCGGTAAGTCTGCTGACTTTTAACTATGAAAATTGGGTTTCGATAACCGTGGTAAGCACAGTACAAATAGTCCATTGTATAACTTTGCGCATAACTACAAACAGATACAGTAAACGTTTTGGTTCTTTACTGACCTGATTCACCAAACGAGGATAAATAAAGTCTCCAGTCTTTCATTGAATGTTAAAGACTGAAATTTGTTTATAAATATAGTTTTAGACTCATTTAAAATTGAACACTGTTTTAAACACTTGATTATGTAAAAACAATAACATTAACAACGAAAGCATTACTGTACACCTAGCCCGCTTAGTTTGTACTTTTATAGACAACGCTATATACATACTTTTAACGTTACACTTTTCTTCGATGCGCCGTATTAATAAATAGTAGAATGCTTCTTCAACAAAATTAATCAACTAGATGATTAAAGAAATTCAACGGATAATTATTCTACTTTAATAGATGTTCACTATTCTTCACTTCTTTGAATTATCATTAAACTTATAGGCTTCCATGAATAAAATATTGACCAGAATTATCTTAAAGGTGGGCGGAATAAAAAACTCAATGAGCATAAAGCCTATGAAATGTAATGATCGGTTGATGTACAGAGTTGTGAATCAAGGAAAGGTAATTTAACTTCTGTTCGACACTCAACTATAAATTTAATATGTTTACCAATAAGATAGTTCAGAATGTTAATATATTCGGATTTTTCAATGCAAAGTGTCATCAACACATCTGGTGTAAATAAAAAATTAGAATTATTAGTTGGTTGTTGCGAATTTCGTTAATTTGATAAGCATATTTTTCAAAATACTTTCTACAATATCATAATTTTATGAACTAAGCATTAAGTTTAATAGTTTCTTACAGTAGTGTGAATGCATAAAGTAATTTGACATCAAAATTAGCTAAATAAACATTTTCAAGCAAGTTTAACTGTATAAATTGATCTATGAACTCAAACTTATCTTACAAAGCAAATGAATTTACAGAAGAGTCGTTAAGGATATCTAATAGAAACCCTGAAAGGGTATGATTGAAAGTTTTTACACAAAATTTAGTCAACCCTTCTGGGCACCTGTATTAAGAATAATTGGCAATCTGTACAGAACACCAAAATGAGAACATGTTGATGTAGATACCATTTTGAATATCATCAATAATCAAAATAAATAGATAATATTCAAATATTTATTCAACAATATCTAGATTTCGTAAATTTATATTATGATTACGAAAACTGTTGTGCATTTACTAAAAGTATTTGTTCCTGAAAGAACGACCTCTGCATCGAATTTGCAAAATTGCAGCTGTATCTACATCGGAGAGTGAGAATGTATAAATATACGTAGAAGAGAACGTAAGGTAGAAGAGGAAGCACGAATTTGTTGAAACTAGGTTCTCTAATTTCAAGACTTTAATAGTTTGTCTCATTTACCGGTTGTTGTTGGGTTTTTTTTTTCACTAACTTTTAAATCTACGCACGATGTCGTGTTCTTTTATTATTATTATGCATATATTTATTTTCAACACTAGGTGGCTAAAAGCTCCAGTGTTTGGAAGCGGAGCTACTTGCTCGAAAGGTTTACCTTATACGAACAGTGTTAGTAGGCTTAGTCGAGATGATTTAGTTTAATTAAGAAGGTGGAAAATATTTGTGTGGTAAAGTAAGATTAAGTAAGTTTCTTACCATAAACCAAAGCGAAACAGGGGAGGTTTAAATCACGTTTTATGAGGTATGGTCGAATATGGTGATATATTTACTTAATTTCTTTTAATGCTAAATGCCAACGGAAAACGTACCGTTGTAATCATTACTAATAATTGTAATAGTCTTACTCAGTAGTAGCAGTATTACTAAATCGTAAATGTAAGTTAATAGTTAGTTGAATTACAACTCATTAAAAAACTAAAAATATCACTTATAAGATGCAACTTACAAGTTACAGAATCATGAGAATTTGTCAATGTCGTAAGTCACTAGTCTGTTTTACTTTTACGTAATTCAGCGTTTAAATTAAAAGGTTGTTCAGTTTCACTTTCAAATGAGGCAATAATAATTATAAACATAACAATGAATCTATTTTAATTACTCATGTTTATTATTATTATTACAGTTTGATTCTTTAGAATGTTATACAATAAAGGTATAAATAACTTGTATAAGTGAGGTATGACTGGTCTTGTCATCTACTTTTGTCTGTTGGATTTAAAACCGTCATCTATGTTTTAAGAATAAAATATTATCCTATGTGCACGTTTGGTTATATTACTAATACTAATAATAATATTGAGTTAACAATTATGACTCATTATAAAAACAGAAGGTTGCAAGTGAATGAGACAGTACCCTTTATTGTGTAAACAAATGACCTAAAATCTCCATTTGCAAAAACCAGTACACTATTTCATTATCCTTAAAATAACTAAGCAATTGGTATATAACAATCCTCTTGTGATGAAAGGCGACAGAGTAAAAAATTACAAGAAAAACAAGGAACCATTTAATCATTTAAGGCTGTTCTTATACACCCACCCCTAAGAAAAGTAAAAATGTAAATTCACATTTTATTTCTCAGGAAGTAATTGATTTCCTTTTTAAATCTTGTTAACTGCTGGCCTCCACTACTACAAGTGTCAATTCATTCTATAAGCCAGTCGACCTCTTAAAAAGACTAAAATAGCATAATTGGAGCATGTTTTGTTTTTGTTCTTTTCCAAATCTTGAACTTAAATATAGTATAAAGAAATTTGAGGATTTGCCCTTATTGATTCTCCCAGATAATCTTGTAACTTTCAATAAGATCACTTCTTGCACTTCTTTTTTTTTAAGATAAAATAAGTGAAGAGATTTTAACCTATCTCTTTAAAGTAACTTCTATCCCTGGAATTATCCTAGTACTAGTAGTAGCCTTTCTCAGAAACCTTTCCAGTAAGTTAATATCCTTTCTTAGATGAGGAGACCAGTATTCCATGTGATGTGTAACTTGTGATTTGTATAGAAAAATAATTACCTCTTATGAATTGTGATAAGTATGTCTATAAATACACCCTAGAAGTATTCCCTCTACTACTAACAACAGAGTGCTTCTTCGATAGCTTGAGTGACATATCTACCACTATGTCACAATGCTTTTCTTCAGTCACACTGTTGAATGGTTTATGGCTATATCCAAATTATGATAACCAGAATTCATTATCATGCACTTACCATAAGTAAAGGTCATTTGTCCAACTTGTCCAAGTCATTCTGTAGTACTTCATGATGCTCAATATAACTAGAAATACTCAAGAGTTTAATGTAATCACTAATAAGCACTTTGCATATTATGCACTCCTCAAAATATCACTATGGAATAATGGTAAAACACACTTTGAAAAAAATAGTGCTAATACATAACAAAATATGTGAAGAATTGATATTGAATGAGTAGGGATAAATTGCCATTTTTCAGGTTGGGAGAATTTAAGTAGTGAGATTTTGCAAGATCCTGTTTTTGACTTTTATGTTATTTGAGTTAGTTATTTAAACAATTTCTTAGAATGTTATATTAGTACTATGTGTTAATTACTGTTGATTGTAAGATTTTAGAAATGCATTATAGAGGTGAATGCCTTTCCCTTATTCAGAAATATTTGGATAGTCTTGATATGTGATGTGAAAAAATAATTTCTTTAAACTTGTATAAAAATTTTGAAGCTAATTTTTTTTCACGAACCTATATTAGAAAATCCTGAGAAAATCGTAAAGAGCTATGTAAGTTTCTTTCCCTGACTAGCTTTGTAGTAGTTTAAGAAATGGTTAATGTCAGCTCTTACTGTCTACTTTCCAAAATCTCTTGACCATGAAGGAATGCATTGGAAAGTTTCTAATATGATCCCTTTGCTTATTTTTTACTTCATTTATTTGATGATTTTTCTTGACATTTTCAAATTTGCTAATCACACTAAGATTTTGGATAGAGCAGATTCTACTGAGCTTCTTTACTTATTTGAGAGGATCTTGATTGATTGTATCAAAGCATAAAAATGAGTCTCAGTACTGTGAAGTGTAAAGTTATGCACATGTGAGGTCATTATTATGGATGATTTTAGTTTTAGGTATATATATATATTGGGAAATGCTAGAGTCAAACCATGAGAGAGAAAGGTTTTTGGAAACTGTTCAAGATGGTTTTCTTTGCCAATTGATCAAGTAACCTACTAGAAAGAATGCTGTTTTAGATTTGTTATTAACTTCTAATATAGAAATGGTTGAGAAGGTGGAAATTGGGGAAAAACTGAGTGCAAGTGATCATTGCTCTCTTAGATTCAATGTTTTGCTGCATATGGACATCAATAATAATGATATTATGGTTATCAAATTCAAAAAAGCAAATTTTGAAAGGATGTGGCAAGAAGTATCTATTGTGAATTGAGCAGCTGAGTTACATGGAAACACTGATCAAATGCAGAAAAATTTTAAATGGGATCACCATTCTTATTAATAAGGACACTTTAATTTAAGACATTTATTGGGATTGCTTGAAATCAAATAGTAAATGAAATATGTTTCTTGAGACTGTTCAGGATAGTTTTCTATACCAAATTATAGTGGAAGTGCCATTTTATATTTATTGTTATTTGCAGAAAACCAATTTTGAGGACACAAGAAAAGATTGACCATGATTGAATTGGATTAATGAATTAAAAGATGGTATGAAATATCTAGGAAATTTTGAATAATAAATTGCTTTTAATTCAAGATAGGCATGTTCATAAAAGAGGGAACAGGATAACATAGAAGATCAAACCTAATTGGATTATTAAAGGCAAAGAAAAAAACCGGACATAAATACTATAAGTTTTAAGAGGTTGAAATGGAGATAGAATGGAAGATTTATGGAACTGTAGGAAAGTTAGGGATTTGGTTATAAAAAATAGTAATACACAATTGTTCATAAGATATAACTGATTGATAGTGCAAGAAATTTTTAAGTATGTTAAAGGTAAGCAAAATGTTAAAATGAATGGGCCCTTGAAGAATGCTGATGACAAGGTTTTTGTTGAAGTTTATAATCTGTACTTCTGTTTAGATCCGGATCAACTACTTTGTCCAGTTCATTCCCTGCTATGTTATTTGGCTCTTACTGTCTCCTTTTGTGGTTTCGTTCCTGTCTATTTGTTCCATGGAATATTTCTGTTTCCTATGATCTATCACATATTATGTTTGCGGGTTGGGTTCATCAACTCTTACGACTGGTGTATTCTGACGTGGCAATGGAAGGTCGCTGTCTACATAATGTTTCTTCGCACCAACTTCATCATCTAACTATGTCTTTGGCTGCTTATAATTACCTTCTTTTGAAAGAGATCATTCAAGCTGGTATGTGAACAACTCCAAATACATTTGTTGCACATTATTTGCACAACCTAGTTGTTTTGATTTTATGTCTGTTCACCTTTGACTGGGGTAAATCAACCTATTGTTATTATGTGTCTTATTTCATTGATCTAGATCATATTTCAGGATCCCACCTGGTGGTGGGTGTTGCCTGGTCAGGTATGCTTAATCTTAATATTATATATCCAAGGTGTTTCCCCTTGATGTTTTTTGCCCAAGCAGTCTGCATTTATTGATCTTCCTAAGTTATGCAAGGTGCTTCCACTGGATGGATCACACTTGGCATAATCCGATGTATCCCAAGGCAATTCCCCTGGATGTAATTTGCCAGGGTGGAATGCACTTGGCCTATTCATATACAATTTATGTTCCTTTAGCCCTAACCACTTATATACATACGTATAATACTTTTATCATATTATCAGGCACCTTACTATGACTAGCTATCACCATGTCCCATGCAAATACTTGCTACATATGTGGATGAATTATGCACTATCTGTTGACAATGGGTTGATTCTGTATTACCTGACATGGTACCTGCCTATTACATTTTGCTCTGTATGTATTACTAGGCATAGAGCATACCTGTTCCAGAAGAAGTATTATACCCCATAGGTGTGCCTTCTTTTCTTATTATGGCACACCTGTTCTTTCAAACAGTTGCTCTCTACTTGATTGAATACTGTCGTGCCTTCACTGGCCCTTCTACCTTGGCAATGTGGGATTCTCGCTTTGTGTGAAAGGAGGTAGTACCGTTTTGGAAATTAACATTTTCTAACACAGAAAATGTGTATTTTTATTGGTACTTACCTCCCTTCACTCACATCCCATTCTACTTCCCCACTGATATGCCAGTATTTACAGTTTGTATCTGCCAATTCTCGAAAGTGAGGATTGTGCTAGAATAGTAGAGGGAGCTACCGGTGCTAGTATAGATGGTACAGTATGATTGGTGGAGGGTAGTCACATGATCAGCACATGTTCTGAAATGGTGCAAAAATAAAGGGGTATAAAAGACTGGTGCATGGTTAGCGAGAAAATTTTAGCACTGCTTAGAGGCAAACAAGGTCGAGATAGCTTTGGGAGAGAGTAGGTAAGTAAGTATCGAAAATACATTTTCAATGTAAGAAAATGTAAACTTCTGTAGTGCAAAATCACTTGGTGAAATATGATGTCATAAAAACAATTAACCTTATTGTCATGGTTCAAAGGCCATGCCATATCATGTTTGTTGACTTGCATTCAACATTTTATTGAACTACTATTTTATGAATGTATGTCAATAAGATTGGTATCAAATTATAGATTATAATTGAAATATTATTATGCTCCATTATTTAATTTCTTAAT